TCAGAGATCGGGCGAATTGTTTCAGAGGCTTGAGAATTTTCGAAATGGAAATGAGAGCGTATCACCATGGATTTTGTAGTAGGATCCCACGATCTTTGAGGAAGTTTGATGCTCTTTTGGTAATTGTGGATTAGTTGACCAAGTCCATGCATTTCATTCCCGTTTGGTGTTACTTATTCTTCAGAGTGGTTGGCTGAGATCTACATCCCCGAGATTGTTCACCTTCACAGTGTGCTGGTGTCCATCATTTCATATCGGGGAATGCAATTTATATCACAATTTTGGAGAGCAGTGCAGTGAGAGTTAGGCACCCAGGTTGACTTGAGTACAACATTCCACCCTCAGATGGGCAGACAGTCCGAGTGCACTATTTGGATATTGGAGGATCTTGCTTAACCAAAAATATGTTTCTTGATAAAAATCTAAATTTAGAAGAAAATAGATTACTGATAACCATGTTTTACTTCACTTTCACAATGATATTTAAGGAAAATATTAAGAATGGAAAAGGAACTAATTGATGGACAAATATTAAAATCAAGATAGAGAATTTCGACAAGGTTGAAACGTAAAAAGTATATTTCAATAGTGCTTGAGATCTGTCCTTACAAATAAAATTATGTGCCCTTATATATGAATGTACAATTGTAATGCTTTTCCCACATAATTTGGATTAATTATGGGCATTAATGATATTGATTGCCTATTATCTCGGATATCTGTAACTGGCGCATTTATTGCTATAAATACCTTATAACTATTCTGATTCTCCTTCCTTATTTACTTCCAGTTCATGTACCTTTCCTTCTTTTTGTTCTTTATTCATTCCGTCCTCGTCTATTCTTTGTCAACTGTTACGCCCGTTTCTCTTTTACGTACCATCTCGTGGGTGTTTCTCCCCGTACCTTTTTCCCCCAATTATTTCTATCAATTGAGAATGTCATTTGTCGCTATATCACTATTCCACGTGTCGTGCCATGTGATCATTCCAATATTCTACGTGTAATGCCATTTCACCACCAATACAGATAGTCCCCCCACTTTCTGAATATTCGGGAAGTGGAATATTTTTATGGCGGGAATTCTCTGCCACCATTTTTTGAATACAATCATGCCTCCTTCAGAACCCATGTGACGCATATCACGTCCATTTAATGATCATGCCACATGGCTTCTACTGATTGGTTCTGAAGTTCCTCAATGCTTTTTAGGGATTTTCTATAGCCACATCAGTCACGAAGTGACGGTTCTATTATGGCGCTTCGTAATGACCTAATGGTCATGTCTTTTTATAAATACTCCTCTCTTTTTTATTTCTTAAAGCCTTTCTTCTTTCATATTCACCTCTGTCTTCTTGTTTTACACTCTTCTGCATTTTTTCCCTGTTATTCTTTGGACAATCATGTCTTCCCTTGATCCCTGTAAAGTTGTAATTGTTAACGAGTTTGTTTCTTCTAATGCTCCCACTATAAGTAGAAGGGGTGGTAGGCTGCGTAGTCTGGGTTCTATATCTAACCTTGGTTCCTCTTCTCAAAGTAGTTCAACTAATATGTCTTCCTCTAGACCTAGGGATCCTATAATCCCTATATCTTCTACAAGAAATAAAGATTCAACTGAGACTATGTGTGAACTCACAGTTGCAGAAATTGTTCCTCAAGAGTTTTCCTTTGTAACTTATCGTGAATCTCTAAGGAGCTATGTTTCTTCCATAGTGTCCCTTGATCGTGCTGACCTTTACCCGAGTTTGATTAATACTGGTCTTCTTTCTCTTATTCGAAGAGAATGTTATTGGAAACCTGATTTCCTAGTTTTAGTTCTTGGTACCAACCAGAGAATTACTTCTTACTATGCTTGTTTCACTTTTGTCTATACCTACCCTTTCACTCTAGGGTTCAACCCCCCTAATCCGGAGATCCTTGAGTTTTGTTGTTATTTCAACGTATGTCTTCGCCAAATTGGCCCCATAGTATGGAGGGCTGCTGCATGCCTTCGTTATTTGGCAGAACTGGTTTTTGTGCCTTTTACTTTTCGGCATTTGCTTCACTTATACTCCCCCAAGTTATTTCGTGAAGGTGTCTTTTCTATCGTGGCTAGAAGTAAGAGAGTTTTGGTTAGCCCTAAAGATGATCGGGATCGTGGCTGGTATGCTCGGTTTGTTGTTGCTCCCACTAGTGGGTTAGTGGGTGAATAAAACATGCCTTTCCCAGAGAAATAAAATTTCTCACGTAAGTTTTTCTCTTTTGATTTTGTAATATCTTAAAAGACTTTATTATAATAAAGTCTCCAACCTTTCAGCATCCATGGAAGTTTTTGCTGAAATTCCCAAATTCCGTGATTGGGTAGAAAATATATTAACTGCTGCGCCTATGGAGAAGAGGTCCTGGAAATACCTTTCTCAAAAATCTAGCTGAAAAGTAAAGACACAGTAATTTTTTCTTCTATTATTTCTTCTTTTCTCCCTCTTGTTTATTCAGATTTTCACATTTTCCTCCTTTATACTAGGGTTTCCCATTCGTGGTATTAGTCCCGCATCTGTTCCCTCTACCAGACTTTCCGTGAGTTCTGCTCAGGAAAGAATTTTAAGTGCTTCTTCTTCTAAAAGGAAAATTGATGGAGCCCGTGGCTTTGAGGATGAAGAAGAGCTAGAGGAGGGTTCTTTAGTGTGAAGATCTCGAGTCAGGAGATGCGTAATTTTCGATGATGAAGATACTCCTTCTCATGACCCACCATCAAGCTCAGTCCCCTTTAGACTTTTGGATGAGACAGAGAATGCCCCTTTAATGGTTTCTGATGATGATGTTGTTGACCCTCCCCCAAGTTCTATTTCTAGTTTGTTTGCTCATGGCTTTAAGGGTAATGAAACTCCCGGGCCTATTTCTGAAGAACTGCCCCTTGCAATCCTTCCAACTTCAGTTCCAATTACTCCTCCCGTGTCTTTACCTATTGCTCCTCCTATAGCTCCTCTCGTAGTTGCGTCCACCTCATCTGTTATTCCCGTGGTTGCTTCTCATGTAGAAACTGGGCCCTCCAGTAGCGGGTTGACAATGAAAAGAATTGTTGTAGAAGTCCCTGAAGGTGGGAGTTTACTAAAGAAATTGGGTCAAGCTGATGTGTGGTTAAAACCTTTGATTAGATCCGTATAGAAGAAGAAATTAGAAAGCCATAGTTCCCTGACTTGGATGAATGATATCGTTCATTCTTCCTTTCCTTTTCTTTTTCTTATTCATGAACCTTTCTATTTTTTTGCAGATCAACTTGATTGGCACTGAACTTATGAAAAGGATTTCTCAAGCGGAGCAGCAAGCGGTAGACTTTAGTCTCAAAGCTGATAACTAGAAAGGTCAATTCGAAGGTATTCAATTGGAGAAAGAGGTTCTAGCGGAAGAAAAGAATGCCTTCGAGCAACAAATGAAGATGGTTGCTGCTGAATTACCAGTTGAAAAGGATTCTTCTAGCGAAGTTGGAAAAGACAAGGACATACATGAGTCCTTTTTTGTTGAACAACTTTCCAAGGCGACTGAAGAGATAAGGAGTTTAAGGGAACTCCTTAATCAAAAATAGGTGTACGCGGGAGAACTAGTTCAAACACTTACTCAAGCTCAAGAAGATCTCTATGCCTCTACTGATAAGATTAAGTTCTTGGAAAGCTCTCTTACGCTTTTGAAGACAGCTTATGATGCTTCTGAAGCAGAAAAAGAAGAGATGGGAGCTTAAATTGATCAATGGGAGAAGGACTATGAGATTCTTGAGGACAAATTGTCATTAGATGTGAGCTGGGCCTTTTTAAACACTCGCCTCGAGACTCTAATGGAAGCCAACCAGGAAGGTTTTGACCTTAATGCTGAGATTGTTAAAGCTAAAGAAGCAATTGATAAAACTTAGCAACGTCACCAAAGCTTTTCTTCACCTGAAGATGAAGGTCCCACAGGTGATAGAATTGGACTTGTTTCTGGTGAAGCTAATGTCCAAGCCTCTTTTTCTCAAGCTGGCCTTTCCACTCCCGTTAATGATGCTCCCGCAAATGATGCCCCTTAGTTTTTTTTGTTTTCATGTTTATTCAACTTTTGGGAAGTTTATTTTGTTTTTTGGAAAGTGGATTTTTGGTTACCCCTATCTTGTTTGGGGGGTTAATGACAAACAAGTACTTCTATTTTTCGCAAAGTTTAATATGTGTTTCGGTTACTTTCACCACTTATTTTGATATCTGAGCTTTTGTTTTTCTCTTTGATATTTGAACTTGCATTTAGAAATGCTTTAATCATCTGTGATTTTGATAGACACAAGCTTTTATAAAAGAGGGTCCTTTTATATAAGCGACATTGATGAAGATGATGTCTTATCTTCATTTTGGTGTAAATATAAGAAAGATGAAATAGAAAAAAGGAAATAATTTAAAGAAGTTTCATGCTTTGAACTTTCAAATAAATTTCATATATGATTTTCTCATACATTACTTTCAAAAATGCTTTCTTTGGAGCAGGTTTTTAGATACAAAATCGGGTTTATTATCCCGTGACTAATTTTTGGCCTTAACCTAAAAATTTGTAGGAACTTGGAGCGTATCTTGAGTGCTTCTTGCGAGTTCACACCTTCTCAAGGTTGCTTCAAGATTTTTGATTCAGGCTTGATTTTGACTCCTAGGCTTGAGTTTTGACTCTTAGATTCTTTACCTATATGTATAGTCCCCCAGTGTTAGAGCTCTGAAGCATGAAATCTCGAACACTGTATTGTTCCTTCCTTTTGGTCAATTCCCTGAAAAGGAAAATACACATGGGACTCGGAGGTACATGCTTAGATGATGACTGCTTAACCCCTTTTTTCCATCAGAAAGGTTGTAACCTAGACCGGAAATAATTCAGTATTCTGCGTGTCTTTCGGGTTTAATATCATCATTTAGTACGAGCTAGCTTTTTGCCTATCATCTAAAATGGTTAGTAAAATTCAAAAGAACGAAATAAAATTATATTTGAGTGATACTTGACCGTGGGTACTTCCTTTGCCTAGAAATAATACTTCTTCAAATGAGCAGCGTTCCAATGTGATGGTAGTATGCTGACATCCATGGTTTCCAACTCATACACCCCTTTTCCAGCGACGCCTCGAACCTTATAAGGGCCTTCCCAATTTGGACTTAACTTACCCGCATTAGCCATTTTTGTTGACCGAAATACCTTTTTGAGGACGAAGTCTCCAATCTTGAAGTACCTCAGGTTTGCTTTCCTATTGTAATATCGTTCATTCATCTGCTTTTGAGCCGCCATCCTTATTAGCGCAGCTTCCCTCCTTTCCTCTAATAAATCCAAACTCGCCCACATTTCTTCTTCATTTGCTTTCTCAGTAGCATGTGTGTGTCTCATACTTGTTTCACCTATTTCAACTAGAATTAGGGCTTCAGTGCCATAGACGAGCGAAAATAGAGTCTCGGTCGTACTTATTTTTGGTGTTGTTCGATAAGCCCATAATACTCCTAGTAACACTTCTGGCCAATTACTCTTTGACTCCTCTAATCTTTTCTTCAAGATATTAATAATAACTTTGTTTGTTGACTCAGCTTGTCCACTAGCTACGGGATGCTGAGGCGCAGATGTAACTCGTTTAATCGGCCAGATCTGAAAGAACTCTATGATTTTTGCGCATATGAATCGCGGGCTGTTGTCACACACGATTTCCTTTAGAACTCCAAAATGACAGATAATATTTCGCCAAATAAAGTCCCTAACTTCTTTTTCTCGCACATGTTTGAAAGCTCCTGCTTCTACCCATTTTGAAAAATAATATGTTAAAACCAATAGAAATCGTACCTTTCCTTTGGCTTTAGGTAACAGACCTACGATATCCATGCCCCACTTCATGAAAGGCCATGGCGAGATAACTGAATGTACCAATTCAGCTGGTCGATGCATGTTGTTGGCATATCGTTGACATTTATATCATTTGGCTACAAAGTTTTTTGCTTCTTCCATTTTTGGCCAATAATATCACGCTCTTATTAAAGTCTTCACCAATGATATTCCCTTAGCATGATTGCCACAGTGACCTTCGTGTACTTACCTCATTAAATATTCTATTTGTGAAGGACCAAGGCACCGTGCTAAAGGTCCACCGAACATCTTTCGGTATAAGTTTCCACGAATTAAGCAATAATGGGCAGCTTTTTGGCGAAGTACCTACGACTTTTTCTTATCTTCGGGCAAGATTTTGTACTGCAAAACATTGATAAACTAGTTCCTCCAATTCCTAATTAAATTATTATAATTTACCTCACTCTTGTCTTGATCGAGTGCTGAATGAAACAAATGTATTACAATAGCATTTTCTACATTTGTTACTTCCATAACAGACGCGAGATTGGCCAATGCATCTGCTTCTGCGTTCTCCTCCCTGGTTATTTGAACAGCCTTCCACGATTGAAATTGTCTGACTAATTCACGTACCTTTTCCAGGTATTGTTGCATTCGCACCTCTGTTGTTATATAAGTCCCCTTCATTTGGTTAACTACTAACTGCGAATCACTTTTTGATTACAATCTGATCTATTCCAAGTTCTCGTGCTAATTCCAGACCTGCAATCACAGTTTCGTATCGTGCTTTATTATTAGTGATAGGATAATATTTTATTGTTTGTCTTATGATTTTCCCTGATGGTAGAATTAGGACAATACCTAAGCCAGCTCCTTTTACATTCAAGGAACTGTCAGTAAATAAAGTCCAAGTCCTCGGATTAGATCTAGTAAATACCTATAATTCCTTTTCTGCTTCAGAAACTAAATTTGTGCTAAAATCTGCTACACAATCTGCTAAAACCTGCGATTTTTTTAAGTTTTGGGCTGGTATATGATATCACATTCACTGAGTTCTATGTCGCAACCCAAATCCCGGTCGTGATGGCGCCCAACACACTACTAGGCAAGCCCGACCATTATTCAACACTTAACCCAATTTATCAAAAATAGCGGAAAGAAATATCAATTAAGCAAGATTAAAGTACTGAAGATTTTAACAAAATACACAATATAATCTCACTAGGACCCGGTGTCACAAATGTGAGCCTCTAGAATACAGAATATCATCCTAATGCATGGTATATCCAAAGTCCGATAATGCGAAAATAAAGAGAAAGGATAGGAGGGAGAAGATCAATGGCTGCGAACGCCGTGCAGCTACCTCGATACTCCCAGAGGCTGGATCTGCTGATCAACTGGATCTACTGAG